TGTGTATTTATCAGTTATCACCTGTGTGAATCATATCATTTTCAATCTCGCCAGTTGGTTTACTGATTAAAAGAAATATATCTCACAGCTTAGGTGAATAAACCACGGTCCAAATGCATTGGCATTTACTCTTGACTGGTATCTCACTTCAAAGACTAATCTCTTATTTATTCTTTCACTTTGTCTTCTTCTACCCAAGGTGAAACTAACAGTTCTTTTCAAACTACAAATGTGAATACTTATGCAATGTTTTGCTGTTTGTCGAGATTGGATTACTGTTGAGAAGTTGCTTCCTCCGCCAAAGAAATGCAAGATCATTGAGGTTAAATTTGTATGAGATGGAGTGGATAATCTCTTTTCTTGACATAGGAATTAAAAGTGCTCTGTTTTGATGATTGACAGTGTGATAAAATAAAAATAGTTTAGATCCAGGACTAGGAATACTAATCTGTTACTCTTCTTCTCATTTGTTGCTATGTTTTCATGTTTTTGAAGTATTATTATATGCAACGTGAGAACCTCTATGTTGCTTGTAATAGGCATGATATTAGTTGTTTCTTGTTAATGCGGTGAAATGCTTCTATTTAAAAAAACAATTTATATACATCTTCCACTTGTTTTATAATTTTGTTTTTTTGAATTTTTTTATAATTTCTATGTAGTTTTACCCTTTTAAAAATATTTTTTCCCAATTATATTATTTAAAAAATATTAAAATTAAAAGTTCCATGGGACTTATGCCCAGCGCCTCGAAGCTTACGCCTCGTCCCGTGACAAGTAAAACGCCTCGCATTGCACCAACACCTTTTAAAACACTGCTCTATGTGTTGGGGCCCTTGCTTTTTATTTCCTGGGAACCAACCTATATCAGTTAGGATAAATAAGCACATAGGTTGGTGATTGTTGAACTGTGCCTTTTATGGATGAAGTAATCAGACTTCATTGGCCTAATAAACTTGTCTGCCCCGATCATCATCCCTCATTACAGGTCTGATGTTTTTCAATTGCTGAATTGACGATGCAATTAACTATTTGTGGTTCTATATGCACCTAATTTATAGTTGTGCTTGAGGGATATCAGGCGATAAATTTCTGCTTGATCCAAGTGGAAAAGTGTGTGTGCTGTTGATTTTTACTTTACTGATGATGCCACTTGTTTTTTACTTGTCAATTCCAATAGTAACCTAATAATAGGATGGTTTGTCATTCAGTGATAGTGTGTTGAAGAATGTAGTATTTGTTAAGGCCTTGTCTTTTTTATGTCTCCTTGAACCTGGATACCTAATGCGTGCTTTTCTTTAGTCTCAGATATAGATTGGTGACCATGCAGTGAATCAAATTTATCATTAACCCTTCTAGGGATTGTCAGTCTTCTATTCGCTTTCAATTACAACAGTGGTTAATCTCCAATCTTCTTTGCTATCTCAATTGGTTTAAACGATAACCTGTGCCTATGAAACATTGCGTAACGTGTCGATCTTAATTAGTGGTTCAATTGCTTCGTAGAAATCTCTCATCTTTACTTCATATGTACTTAACATTCAGATATACAGCGTAATATAAATGCCAACTCTGCTTCATTTGGTGGTACAGAGGTGAAGCCATTGATGCTACACTGGGGTCAGGATAAAGTCTCTGATATCTCCAACAGATTCGACGTCATCATTACAAGTGACTGGTAGTTCTTTTCTCTTTTCTCACTGAACTTTTTTTTGTCCCTCGTTGAGCATTCCGCTTAAAGTTGTAAATCAAGTGCATTATTTTTCTGTTTCATCGTTTTCACGTCAACGACTAATCAATGTTAACCAGAAAATAAGCCCTATGTTTTACACAGAAATTGTATAATGATCGTGCTGGCTACCCAATCCTTTTCCACAATATTCTGTACTTTGATTTGTTTAGATGACTTTACTGAAGTTTTATAGAGTATTATGATATCTGATCAGAGAGAACTCCTTGTTGGCATCTAGCTGTGATGAGATGGAGTTCCTTTCTTGTCTTTATTGGAAGCAGTCTCTCATGTGCACATGAGAGAATTCAACGAGGAGCTTTTTCCTTTCTATACATTAAGATATTCTCCTTTACGTTGGTGTCATTTATCATTTTGCAGCACTTTCTTCAAAGAATTCCACGGAGCACTTGTCTGAACTATCAAATCATTGTTAAAAAAGGAGGGTCCATCCGAAGCCATACTTTTCAGCCCCAAAAGAGGTGACTCACTGGACAAGTTTCTTGTAGAAGTTAAAGATAGTGGGTTGCGTTTCAGGACAGATGAAATCTATGACACAGAAGTTTGGAGGCGTCATCAGCAATTCATTAATGGTGATGATTCCTGGCCCAATTATGAGATGGATCATATCCTTTATTGGTCAGAATTACGTGGTGGAGATCTGCAGTGCAGGTTTACTGCGTCCGCCATGCTTATTTTGTACATATTACAGTTATTCAAATCTATTTATACTACGAAATATGAACTGATTCCACTTTGGAGAAGTTACAAACTATTACCATTTTTCAAAATTTTCATATTTGTTTTGGTAGAAGGCTAGGCAGCCGAGCGTTGTCCTTACTCGTTCTAGTAGTTTTAGTGCATTCCTTAATATTAGTCTTGTATTTTCTTATTATCAGATTTTTTGGGATTACTTATAGTTTCTTTCGCTTCTGTTTTCTGATTGGTTTGCTGGTGTTTTTGCTTGCTTCTACTCCTTCCTCTCTATCTTTCTTGAGCCGAGGGTCTACCGAAAATAGTCTCTCTATCTTCTTAAGGTACGGGTAAGGTCTCTTACACTCTACCCTTCCCAGACCCTACTAGTGGAATTACACTGGATTTGTTATTGTTGTCGTGTCTTTGCCAATGGCCCCTCCTAGAGTTCTTAAGTAGTTCAACTGCAAAATTCAATCTATGCTTCCTTGCATACAAGTTGGTCGTTTTTCCTCAAGAGTAATCTTCATTTTTATCCTACACATTGAGTATAATTGAATTTCACTTGTTAACTTGGGCACAACTAGTAATTGATATCTGAGGATTAGCTTAAAAAAAAACGGATCACTTGCATCAGCTGATGACCTGATGTCAAGAGTGAGTCTGTTTTTGTTAGTTCTGAAAAGTCACAGATTATCAAGTTTCCTTAGCTTGTTAAAATCAGTTTGTTGTTGTAGCATCTGCTAATCTCGGTAAATTTGTGGAAGATTTTGTATATCGTAAATCAAGCTACTTCCAGATTATAATCCAGAAACAGAAACATCTCTCTTTGTTCAGCTTTATTATCATTCTGCAATCCTGCAAATGAATGTGCAGTTAAATTCCAGAGCCTGAACTAGTTAGGTTTAAGTTGAATAAAGATCCTTGAGAGTGTTTGCTCGGGTCGTAAAGCCAGTCGTCTTTCTCTTTTTCATTAGATAGGGAAATGGTCTCTACAGTCCAATGAAACCTTGTTGTTGTTGTTGTTGTTGTTGTTGTTGTTGTTGGTGGTGGTGGTGGTGGTGGTGTGGTATCTCTAGAAAAGCTGAAACATGTAGTCCTGTTGAAACAGAATAAGCAGCTGTCTTATCTAGCTTGGGTGTCACAGGCCCAAATCCTTACATTGGGTAGCGGTACCTGCTCGCCCGTGCGGCGCCTGCAGTTCCCCTCGCTGCAGGCCAGCCTGTTTCCTATCCCAGGATTCCCAAGCACGATCCTGTGCCTGTTGGTGGGGCTCGCCCCAACTTGTGCCGCCCGTAAGATGTCTAGGCCCTAGACATGTCGTGGCGCTTCTTCTTAGGATCACAATACATGCGCGCCCTGGGGGATTGGCTTAGGACATGTCTTGTCCCTCGCCCAAGACTGAGCATCGCTCCCGCGTGCACANATGATAAGTCCATCAAGTATCCGATCGGCACGTAGGTCTCGTTCCAACATTCGGCAGCCCGCGGGGCTGGCCGTCCCACACATCGAGCCTCCAGCACCACTTTGATGCCCAACGCTAGCCC